TCAATGCAATATGCTGTTAACCTAATACAAAAGAATCTGAGTATCCCAAAAATATCAACAAGAAGTACTTACATTGTTGTAATTGTATTCGACAAACAAATAGCCTGCCAAATTTCCCTTTCTCATGGTTAATAAACAATACACATAAAAGAAACATAATGAAATCATGTACATATTAACTTATCGATATATCTAATAAGTAAGAAGTCATAAACAATAAAATCATACCATAAGCAACCATAAGAAATCTGCTCTTAATCAAACATAAGCAGACATAATGGTTGTAACCAAATCCACACAGGTTGGAACCTAATCGACAAAGCTTGTAACACAATCTAAACCATATCGAACTCCACCAAAAAGTTGTAACCCACTAGTCCGAAAATAACCAACCACTCATAAAACTTGTAACCAACCACCCAGACAACTTGTAACCCACGAAAAGTATTTGTAAGTTATGACATATAAAATTAAAGATTTTTGGGTCTTCAAGTAATATCTAAATAGAAAGAGGGGGATGTGTATTTATCTGTTGTGTGTTGTGTCGTACTTAAAGGAATTAACGGACAGATAATGAGGGGTGAAGCAACCAAGTCTTCAACTTGCTCGTTGATTTAAGTCGAGTTTTCGTGGTAGATGTTATAGATGATGTCCCAAATCCATCCATCCATACAAAAACAACCAAAGCCTCATTAGTTTAAGTTCAGCAAATCAAATGTGTAATTTATTATAAACGGGAAAAAAATATAAATGGGTTACGAAAAACAACCCTAATCACTAACCAAAAATTCAAAGAGACCACAAAATCAGAAAATATAACACACATATTTTGGAAAGAGAGAGATGGATTTTCGGTGGAGTTTCAATGGGATCCGAGACAGAGAGATGAGTATTCATTGGGGTTTCAATGGGAGCCGAGACAGAGAGATGGGTTTTTGTTAGGGTTTTAATGGAAGCCGATAGAGAGAGGAGATGGGTGATACATACACACACATATAACGACAGACGTCCATGCCTTGTAATGAATTCTTTGAAGAATGGGTAGAGGGAGACAGATCAAAGGAAGACATGGAGATGGGTAGAGGCAGACATATCAAAGGAGGAGAGGGAGAGGAGGAAGGGAATTTGTGTGTGGAAGCGGAAGGGAATTTTTATTAACAAAAAATGGGCGGGATATGTTTCCGCCTAAAACATAGTTGAATTTATTGAAAAAAATTCATTTTATTCCATCATATCCCACTATTAGTAAAGGTTAAAGCAACCCAACAAATTGAAACCTCACCTACAAAAATTGTAACCAAATCCATAAAAGTTGTACCTAACCCAAATATTATAACCAAATTCATACAAAAGTAATAACCTTTTGGAACACCATCCTCAACAGTTAGAACCCTCCCAAAAATAGTTCCTTTTTGAAGTGGCTTCCAACATTTATGAATTAGTGTTATAATATTTTGGGGTAAATTATTTGGTGACGTTTCAACTTTGTTAGATAGGGTTATAACTTTTTGGGTGGGTTCAAAGTGGATCTATCAAAGCTTAATAAAGTCAACCCAAAAAATTGAAACTCCAATCCAAAATATTGTAACACAACCCAAAAAAGTATTAAATCATCCCTAAAAGGTTGTAATACACGCAACAACCACAATCTATCCCATTTCTTTCCAAAATCACATCACATAATAAATGCAAGCCAATTAAATTTGTCAGCCAAACTATAGTTGGTAATTATAAAATAAATTATATTAATATCTCCCACCGAACGTGGTTATGTTGCCTGAACATTCTTCATCTCCTACAATGTCACTCTTTATTCCTTCATCATCCTAACAATTTCACTTTTTATTCCTTCATTCTCCATACAATTTAATTGGAACGTTTAGAACCCCCATTCCATCATCATCCATCCAATTACATGGGCGAGATAACTATTATGTATTTGATGTTAACTGCATAATTTTCTTTATGAATGTTTTCTAATTTTGATAGACAATATGGGAAAGGAGAGCAGTACATAAACTAATATTGTCATAACACTAGTTTTTTTTTTTTTTTTGTATTATGTACAAAATTTCTACAATTTGTCAAACATTTGATATATAACATGCATCTGTTGTTAATTATTTTTCTGTAGGTATAATCAACACAAATGTCCTCAACTTATTTACAAAAAGGAAAGCACCCTATTATAGACATAAATGAAGATGTAACAGAGGACATGTTACATAATGTTGAAAATAATGAAAATGAGAACATGCAGCAAAAAATGATGGATGAGTTAAAATATGAAGAAGTTTTTGAAATGACGTTTGATTCACACGAGGAGGCTAGAGAATTTTATAATACATATGGAAGATATGCGGGGTGTAGTATTCAAAAAGATGACCTAAAGCATGACAAGAACTACATGAAAATTTCAAGAAGGTAGGTTTATTCAAGAGAAGGGTATCGGTCCACAAAGAATGCGAACCACGACGAACGAGTAAGGCAACCACGGGGTTTAACAAGGGTTGGATGCCTTGCAACTTTGCATGTGAAGTATGATAGGAAGACATGAAAATGGTTTGTAAAGGATTTTGTTAAGGAGCATAACCATCCATTAGTTCCATCACGTGGCGTGTCATTCCTTTGATCACATAGGGGTGTTAAGAGCCCTGACAGAGCACAGGCTACATCATTGCGTAATGTAGGTATATGAACAAGTCAGATTAGATATTTCATGTTGCAACAATCAGGAGGATATCAAAATATTGAATTTACCACAAAGGACTTGTATAATGATGTAGCATCCCAACATCGAGAAGAAATGAGGGATGGTGATGTCGAGAGCGCATTGACATACTTGAGCGCCAAGGAAGAGTTGGACCCGTTATTCTATTTCAAGTATAACGTCACTGAAGACAATTCGCTACATTGTTTGTTTTGGGCGGATTTGACTTCCCGAATAGACTACAAGTGTTTTGATGACGCACTAATGTTTGATACTACATATCGAACGAATATTTATAAGAAGTCATTTGTGATATTTGCAAGTGTCAATCACCACAATGCTACAAGTATATTTGGTTGTGCATTGCTTTCAGATGAGACTATGGAAACATATGTGTGGGTGCTATCTACTTTTCTTCATGCAATGGATAATAAGATGCCGATCTCCGTTATTGCATATGGGGATAAAGCAATGGCCGCTGCAATAGAAATAATATTTCCACAAGCAACACACTGCTTGTATAGGTGGCATTTTACCCGAAATGCTTTCACAAATATAAATTCCAAAATTTTGTCCAAGCATTCAAGAGATGTATGTGCACTCGATGTACACCTGAAGAATTTAAAGATTTATGGAAATCAATGGTTGAATCATTTGGTTTGAAGACTAATAATTGGATTGCTGAAGTTTATGTAAAGAGATTCAAATGGGCCGAAGCATACTTACGGGGGATATTTTTTGCGGGACAAACAAGTACACAATGGTTTGAAAGTTTGAATGCATACCTAAACCGTTTCCTAAAAATACATCAAAGACTGTTTGAGTTTGTTAGGCAATATGATAAGGGCTTGGAAAGAATCAGAGAGGCCGAGGCCAATGAGGACTACTAGTTAGAACACTCCAAGCCAATGCTCACAACATCATTTAAATGCTTAGAGGAGAAAGCTTCCAAGATATATACCAGAAAAATATTCTTCAAAGTTCGTGATCAATTGAAGGATGAAGCTCCATTTTTTGTAGTGGATAAAATTGAGAGCATAACACATCGGAGCTACTACTTGTCCCGGTTCACACAGCCTGAATCTAGGTGGATTTTTCAATATTATCCTGGCATTCATACGTTTAAATGTAATTGCATGAAATTTGAGTCTATTGGGATTCCTTGCTCTCATACGATTGCCATCATGAAGTGTGAGCACCTCAAAGAGTTTCCTCCAAGCATTGTGATGAAAAGGTGGACAATTACTGCAAAATTCGATTATCAAACAAATGATGTGTTGCGTACATTGAGTTTCCCATCAGTTTCTAGAAGATATGTTGGAGTCATGTCTATGTGCAGTAGAATGTGTTAATATGCTTCACAATCAATGTCAAAAACAAACAACGTGAGAAATATGGTGCATCAGCAAACGTCTGTTCTACAAGCCCATCACGAGTCAACAACTAGAGGTTATGATGAGTCTCAGATATCCCATTTCAACATGAATGTGAAAAATGACAAATTTGGTGTCGATGACCCAAAATTTGTGAAGACTAAGGGAAATCCAAGACGGGTGTGAAAGAACATTTCAATTACCCCACGAAGGTGCAGTAAATGTAGGGGTATCAGACATACTGTTAGAAAATGTCCACTACTTACTCCCCATTTGAATAATCCATATGAGAACATGTCATTTTCACATCTGGATGAATCGCAGTAACCACACAATCTCCATTATTTTCCTCATGCATCACAAGAATCGGTGCTCAAGATGCCATTCTCATAGCCTGGTGGATCACAACAACCCTTGCCAATATATGAAGATGAAGACCATTGGACTCCTTTTTGAATGGCAAAAGTATGTTTCCTACTCAACATGTTGTGTGCTTCAACATGCATCAAGAAATCAACTGTATTGTGCATTCCTAGCATTTCAACATGCATCAAGAAACCAACTATATTGTGTATTCTTAGGATTATATTACAAACATAGCATCGCCAAACATCATGACATTCACTTGAAATTACATAGCATCAACAAAACACCATGACATCCACTTTCAATTTACATACCATCAACAAAATTACGTAGTAAAATTTACAATTGAACAACTAAAATGTTATCTACAATCCAACCACTAAAAAAGAGTACTACTCATTTTTGTTTTGAGTTAACAATTTATTCTCCAACTGTTTCAAAGACTCTTTGGTGTCTTCCCAGAGCTGCCTGAGAGACTCATTGGTGTCATCATGGAGCTGCTTGAGAGACTCTTTCATTTCTTGCTGCAACTCTTCTTGGTTTGCCAAAATCTATTTAAGCATTTGTACAATATCCCTTGAAGTACTTGCCCCGGTATCATAATCATATGGATCATATGCATCGGTTTGCCCCAAACTCTTTTTTAATGTGCATTCACCAAATGGACTCATAAGGGACTTATAAGTGTCGGATGGGTAAATGACAACTCCATAATGCATCATGATCTTTGAAATTAAGATGGGGAATGGGAGACTTTTTTGCTTACCTTCAACATCAAACGCTGAAACAATTTCATTAAATATTAGACAAGGGAGATCTATAATTATCCCCTTCCCAATGACATAGAGTAGATAAGCTCTATCAACTCCAAAATTAGCACTGTATCCTCTCGGATTAATATTACATCCCACTATACGGTTTAAAATCCTATAATTTTTAGTGAGATATCTTTGATAAAATGTGTGTATGTTCAGCTTAAAAGGTCTACCATAAAGTTCTGTTGCAACATCCTCGATGGTATGTTGATCATTGAGATTTTTGTATGGGTATGTCACAGTATTTTCAACAATAAAGGGTGAGGGAACCTTCAATATCCTTGAAATCAAATTCGGATTCACTTCAAAATGTACATTCCTCATATAAGATTTAAACTTCAAATCTTCCTTCTCAACATCATGCATATTTGCATAAAATATTCTCACTAATCCATCATAAGCTTTATCGTTCTTATCTATTTGAACTATAGAATTCCATTGTCGCAAACCAAAACTAAGAGCACAGTCCACAGTTGTCATCTTATCTAGCTGGGCACCACGCTCTAGTAATATAGGCCTATTACAAAACCTATTATGATAAACCCCTTCACTAATTCTGTTGAAGAAAGTATTTATCGGAATGGATGATCTTACCATATTTGGGTTGGATGAACTTACCAAATTTGGGTTTGATAAACTTACCAAATTTGGAAGAAAGGAGGAATGATCAACATTTTTATTTTGTTTTGGATGAGATGGATGAAATGGCTTTGGACAACTGAAGGAATCGACCACAATTGGAGGTTTTGGACAATTGGACTGATCACCAACCTATTTACTCTTCATTTGCCCAATTCCACGTGTATCCACTTTTGGCCAATATTTTCCCTCAGCCTTCCTCTTCTTCTTTGTTTCCATCAAAATTTTTGTTGAGCTCAAACGTTGTTCTAATACATTACCAGAAAACAGGTACATACCCGATCAAACATAATTAATATATAGAAAATAAATATGGAACAGTTGACATCCTCACAATCGTACACACAAGACTCGTCGCATACACACGTTGACCACATACATTCATATGTTATAGAATACTTACTTGCAATGAGATTTAAAGCGTTTTGGAGTTAGGGTTTGGTAAAGATCGATTGGCTGACTTGTTCTTCTTGAAATCAAATGAATTTCGAATGCTTGAAATCAATCACTTGTTCTTCTTTAAATCGATCACTTGTTCTTTTTGAAACAAAGGGATTTCGAATGCTTGAAATCAAAGCCGTTTTGGAGGCTTTTTGGAGTTAGGGTTAGGGTTTTGGAGTTAGGGTTCGCTCACTTGTTCTTCTTGAAATTGAACTGTTTGAAATCGATCAAGGTTTAGGTTCAATGCTTGAGTCGATTTGGCTACAGGTGTGTATGGTTGAATGATCTGGTTGAGACATTCACAGGTCTCTTCCTTCCTAATTTGCCTTAGACACACAGCTCCTCCAATATGTGGAATGGACGATCGACTTCTTTTTGAGTAGGCCAAAGTGTAATATGAAAGGGATAAAGGATAAAAGTGCCAAAAGTGTAATATGAAAGGGATAAAGTGTAATTTCATAGCACGATCGATCCACCATTCCCAAGACCGGTCTTAATTTAAATTACACTTACACCCCTAAACTATATCAATATTTTTATTTTTTCCTATCCCAACCCAAAATACTATAAATTAACAATCAATTGATTAAATTAATATTCAATTTTATCAAATTAATATTTAATTCATCAAATTAAAACCAAATTAACATTTAATTCATTCAAATAAATATTCAATTCATCAAATTAACACTAAAATCAACATTCAGTTCATCTAATTAACACTCAATTTATCAAAATTAATATCCAAAATAATTCAATAAAAATTAAATTTATCAAATCAACCAAAGTAATATGAAAATTAATCAAACAAAATTAACATTACATTTCATCTAATAAACATTCAATTAATAAAATTAACATTTACATTCAACTATTAACATTAAATTCATCCCATACCTATTTATTTGTCAAATTAACACCAAATTTATGTTCAATTGATGAAATCAATACCAAATATATATATATATATATATATATTCAATTCATATAATTTATATTAATTTGGTGTTAGTTTGGTGAATTGAATGTTAATGTGGTGTTAATTTAATGAATTGAATGTTTATTATAGGAAATGTTAATTTGGTGTTGATTTGGTGAATTAAATGTTTATTCAATACATTTTTATATTACATTGGTCTTGGTTTGATAAATTGAATTTTATTAGATGATTTTGGATGTTAATTTGATGAATTAAATATTAGTTTAGTATTAATTTGATGAATTGAATATTTATTTGATGAAATTGAATGTTAAGTTAATTTGATGAATTTATTAATTATTAGATGGAATTGAATGTGAATTTGATGAATTGAATATTAATGTTGTGTTAATTTGATGAATTGAAAGTTAATTTAGTATTAATTAGAATAATTGAATATTAATTTGGTGTTAATTTGATGAATTGAATATTAATTGGATGAAATTGAATCTTAATTTGATGAACTTAATTTTAAATATTTAATTTAAATGTTAATTTAATGAATTAAATGTTTATTATACGAAATGTTAATTTGGTGTTGATTTGATGAATTAAATATTTATTAAATGAATTTTTATATTACATTGGTGTTGGTTTGATAAATTTAATTTTTATTAGATGATTTTGGATGTTAATTTGATGAATTGAGTGTAAATTGGATGAATTTGAATATATATTGGATAAATTGAATGTTACTTTAGTCTTAATTTGAAAAATTAAAATTTTATTGGATGGAATTGAATATTACGTTAATTTGATTAATTAAATGTTTATTAGATAGGATTGAATGCGAATTAAATGAATGGAATATTAATTTGGGGTTAATTTGATGAGTTGAATGTTAGTTTAGCGTTGATTCGAAGAATTGAATGTTAATTTACTATTAATTTGATGAATTGAGTGTTAAACAGTTAATTTAAATGTGATTTTAATTTTAATGAATTGAAACCTCTACAAAAAAAGTTAGAACCCTAACCTATTTTTTTGGAACTTACCCCAAAAAAAGTTCAAACCCTACCGAAAACGTTCGAACCCTCCTCCAACAGTTAAAACCCACAAAAAATTATAATTCAATTCAAAAAAATTGAAACTCTGCTAAAAAGTTGAAATCTCTACGCCAAAAAATTAGAACCTCCAAAAAAGTTGGAACCTAGCCAAAAAAGTTGGAACACACCCAAAAGAATTGGAATCTTACCAAAAATGTTACCTTACCGAAAAAGTTAGAACCCTTCCCCCACAGTCAGAACCCACCCAAAAGTTATAATTCAATTCAAAAAATTGAAACTTTAGCCAAAAAGTTAAAACCTTGGGTTGGAACCTCCAAAAAAGTTGGAACCCTTCCCTCAAACATTGTAATCTTTACCCAAAAAAATTTGAATTCTTACCCAAAAAAATTGGAATTTATAACCAAAAAAGTTGAAACACTTACCAAAAAAGTTAGAACTCACCCAAGAGTTGGAATCCCTACCACAAAAATTGAAACCCTATGGAAAATTTTGGAACCCCTTTCCTGATAGTTATGACCCACCTAAAAAGTTATAATTCAATTCAAAAAATTAAAATGCCAAAAAGTTGAAACTGCTACCCAAGAGTTGAAACCTCAAAAAAATTGTTAATCTTCCCTCAAGAGTTGTAACCTCTATCAAAACAAGTTGGAATCCGTACCCAAAAAATTAGAAACCTCTATCCAAAAAAGTTGAAACCACCCCAAAAAAGTTGAAACCCCTACCAAAAAAGGTGGAACCCTTACCCAAAAAGTTGGAACCCCTCCCTCGAAACCACCTAAAAGGTTATAATTCAATTTTAAAAAGTTGAAAAATTAAAACTCTATCCCCAAAAATTATAACCCTATCGAAAATAGTTAAAATCTCACCGTAAAAGTTGGAACCCTTCCCCAACCGTTAGAGCTCATCCTAAAAAGTTTAACTCAATTCAAAAAAGTTGTAACCCTTACCCAAAAAATTAATTTGATAAAATTGAAAGTTTATTTGGTTTAAATTTGATGAATTGAATATTAAATGTTATTAGATGACATTGTTAATTTGTTGAATTGAATATTAATTTGGTGTTAATTTGATGAATTAAATCTTTATTAGATAATTTTTTATTTTAATTTGATGAATTAAATGTTAATTTAATGAATTAAATATTAAATGGATGAACTGAATTTTAATTTGATGTTAATATGATAAATTGAATGTTTATTTGGTATAAATTTGATGAATTGAATATTAAATGTTATTAGATAAAATTGAATGTTAATTTGTTAAATTGAATCTTAATTTGGTATTGTTTTGATGAATTAAATATTTATTGAATGAAATTGTATGTTGATTTGTTAAATTAAACCTTTATTAATGATTTTCGATGTAATTTAATAAATTGAGTGTTAATTTAATGAATTTGAATATAATTTCGATAAATTGAATGTTAATTTTGTGTTAATTTTATGAATTGAATATTAATTTGATGAATTGAATGTTTATTTGGTATAAATTTGATGAATTGAATATTAAATGTTATTAGATGAAATTAAATGTTAATTTGTTGAATTGAATATTAATTTGGTATTGTTTTGATGAATTAAATGTTTATTGAATGAAATTGTATGTTGATTTGTTAAATTAAACCTTTATTAATGATTTTCGATGTAATTTAATAAATTGAGTGTTAATTTAATGAATTTGAATATAATTTCGATAAATTGAATGTTAATTTTGTGTTAATTTTATGAATTGAATATTAATTTGATGAATTGAATGTTTATTTGGTATAAATTTGATGAATTGAATATTAAATGTTATTAGATGAAATTAAATGTTAATTTGTTGAATTGACTATTAATTTGGTATTGTTTTGATGAATTAAATGTTTATTGAATGAAATTGCATGTTAGTTTGATGTTGATTTGTTAAATTAAACATTTATTGATGATTTTCGATATAATTTGATAAATTGAGTGTTAATTTAATGAATTTGAATATAATTTCGATGCATTGAATGTTAATTTTGTGTTAATTTTATGAATTGAATATTAATTAGATATGATTGAATGCTAAGTTGAAGAATTAAATTTTATTACATTATGATTTGAAGAATTTGTGGATACTTCTACTGGTCTGGATTTTTTTCGATATCTTAAGATCCCTTTAGTCAGGGAGCCTTCTATGAAGATTAAATCACATTTTTATTGAAACTGATTCCCAGTTTCAAATACTGCTAAATTCGACTTGTACTTGAAATTCTTTTGTTAATAAGGAGTAGTCTAAGGTTTGAACATATCAAAACCCATGATTCTATGTCAATGGTGATTATACAATCTCTAACTCTCTTATTCATCTTTCTAAACTACAAAGCCATATATAACATAATGAAACCAAAAATTTCACTTTGACCAAATTCATTCTATTTTACAGGGGCTTACATTAGACATTCTACATACTTATCGTGAGGGGAATATGGTTGCTGATTCATTGGCAAATAAAGGGGTCATTGATAGGGGGTCGTTTATCTATGATTCCACTAAAGATATACCAGT